ATATCATATTGATTGATTTGCAGATATTGAATGATCCCTGCATTCTTTGAATAAATCCCACCTGATCATGGTATGAGATCCTTTTAGTGTATTATTGAATTTGGTTTACTAATGTTTGCTGAGGATTTTTACATGTATGTTCATCAGGAATATTGACCTGTAATTTTCTTTTTTTATAGTCTTTGGTTTTGGTATCAGGGTAATGCAGACCTCACAGAATGAGTTTGGAAGTATTCCTTCTTCTTCAGTAATTTTAGGATAATTTGAGGATAGTATTGACTCTTTTAAATGTTTGGCAGAATTCACCTGTGAAACCACTTGGTACTGGTGTTTGTTGGGAGTTTTCTGATTACTGATTTAATTTAATTACTAATAATCATTCTGTTCAGATTTTCTGTCATCCTGATTCAGTCTTGGAACATTGTGTTTCTAGGAACTTACCCATTTCTTCTTGGTTGTCAAATTTGTTAGTACTTAATTATTCATAGTAATCTTTTCAATCTTTTGTATTTCTGTTTGTCATATGTAACTTCTCTTTTATTTATTATTTTATTCATTTCAGCCCTTGCTTGTTTTTTGATGAGCTTGCCTAGAGGTCTGTCAGTTTGTTTCATCTTTTCAAAGAATCCAGGTCTTGTTTGATTGGTATTTTCTTTTCTTTTTTCTTTAGTCTCTATTACATTTATTCCCATTCTGATCTTTATTATTTCCTTCCGTCTTCTAACTTTGGGCTTTGTTTGTCCTTATTTTTCTAGTTCCTTTAGGTGTAGAGTTAGATTGTTTATGTGAGGTTTTTCTTCTTTCTTAAGGTAGGCCTGTATCACTATAAACATCCCTCTTAAAACTGCTTTTGTAGCACATCATTTAGCCTCCATGTGTTTGTGTTTCTTTCCAAGTTTTTCTTGTAGTTGATTTCTAATTTCATATTGTGATTAGAAAAGATGCTTCCTATGGTATTAATCTTCTTAAATTTATTGAGACTTGTTTTGTGGCTTAATATGTGATCTCTCCTATAGAATGTTCCATATGCATTTAAAAAGAATGTCTGTTTTTCTGTGTTTGGAAGGAATGTTCTGTATGAGCTATTAGGTCTATCTTACTTAATGTGTTATTTAATACCACTGTTTCCTTATTGATTTTCTGGCTGGATGATTTACCCATTGATTTAAGTGGGGGTATTAAAATCCCCTACTATGATTCTATCATTGTCAATTCCCCTCAGTATGTGTGTTAATATTTATATATTTAGGTTCTCCTCTATTGACTGCATAGATATTTATAATTGTAATATCTTGTTGGATTAATCCCTTTATCATTCTGTAATTCCTTTATCTCTTGTTACAGTCTATTTTAAAGTCTATGTTGCTTGTTAAAAGTATTGCTACTTAGCTTACTTTTTGTTTCCACTTGCATGTAAGGGGTGTTTTCTATCCCTTCACTTTTAATCTATATGTTCCTTTAGATCTGAAGTGAGTTTCCTATAGGCAGTATATAGATAGGTCTTCTTTTTTATTTTTTAAATCTAGCTATGCTTTGTCTTTTGATTGGGACACTTAGTCCAATTACATTTAAAGTAATTATTGATAGTTTTCTCACTGCCATTTTGTTAATCGTTTTCTAGTTGTTTTTGTAGTTCTTTTCTTTGCCTTTCTTCTTCTCTTACTCTCTTCCCTTATGATTTGATGACTTTTGTTATTTTTTTGTTTACATTCCTTTCTATTTTCTGTAGGTTTTTTGATTTGTGATTAGGATGTGGTTCATATATAATAATCTTATATAGCAATCTATTTTAAGTTAATAGTTGCTTAAGATAAAATGCATTCTAAAAGCACTACATTGTACTTCTCCCCACCATGTTTTGTTTTTGGGAATTCATATTTTACATCTTTTTATTTTGTGTACCCCTTAACTAGTTATTTTAGATACAACTGATTTTCCTAGTTTTGTGTTTTAACCTTTATGCTTATTTTATAAGTGGTCAGTTCACTACCTTTATTCTATGCTTTAACCAGTAAATGCAATTTTCTTTCTTCTAGTTATGGCCTTTCCTTTTCTGCTTAAAAGAAGTCCCTTTAACATTTCTTATAAGACTGTAGTGGTGATGAACTCCTTTAAATTTTATTATCTGGGAAAACTCTTTATCTCACTTCTAATTCTGAATGATAACCTTCCTGTTAAAATATTCTTGGTTGTTGTTTTTTTCCTTTCGGCACTTTGAATATATCATGCTACTCCCTTCTGGTCTATTAAATTCTGCTGCAAAATCAACTGATAATTTTTTTGAGGGTCTCTCGTATGTAACTAGTTGGTTTTCTCTTGCTGCTTTTAAGATTGTCTATTTTTGTTTTGACATTTTAATTATAATGTGTCTTGGTGGGCAAGGAAACATAAATTCAGGTCCAGGAAACAGAGAGAACCTCAGATCAGATAAGCCATCAAATTTTATTGGGATATAGAGACCTCAAGGGTTCAGAGTGAGGCTAGGAATACACAAATAATAATAAATGTTGTTTCTGTCTCAAATTCATTAAAAGAAAAAAAACCCCACAAGGATTTAATGTAGCTGTTAAAGCTCTTGCTTTACTTTGCTTAGGTTAAGCTTTCCAAAAAAGGCAACCTGTCTACAGCTCTCAAGCCCATGGCAATGGAATGTGTGCCCAGAGGAACCTCAGATAATACATTTACAATGTTCTTCTTGAGTTGTAACAGATATAGAGGCAAAATGCACTATTAAGAGTCTGAGTCTATTCTATCTCATAAGGAAGGTGGATCTTCCAGTACCCTATGCTGTGATTTTCCATGATTTCTGTCTAGGAATAGCTAAAGGAGGCAGCGGGTTGGAAGGGGAGTGCTGGGGATAATGAAACTTGGGTTTGAATAGCACTTTATATAAGATGGGGAGAACATAATTTTCCGTATCAAAGACTGGAGGGGTTGTGGTGGCTGCTGAGATGAATGCAGTGATGGAGCCTTGCCAAATCCAGTCCTCCCATGGTTGCTTCCACTGCTCATGTGTCGGCTCTTTGCAGCTCAGGAGCTTTTCTTGCATGCTGAATACCTCAGGTTATTGGCATGCTGCATGGATTATTTTATTGTTTTTTTGCAGGCCTTTTGTTGTGCTGCTTTTAATTTTTAAAAATCCCTCTATATCTAACCACTATTAAGAGTGGTGTGTGTCTTTCCAGACATCTCACTCTCTCACACACACACACACACGCACACACACACACACACACACACACACACACACACTCTGAAATTTTTTTTCACTTTACAGTGTATCATAAGCATCCATGTCAGAATATTTAAATATACTCTATTCTTTTCAACAGCTGTATTATTCCATTGCATAATGATTGAATCTTATACTCAATAATTCCCCTATTGTTGGACATGTAGGTTGCTTCCAATTTTTCACTCTGTATCACTTAATAAACTGGTCCATATTACTTTTTACACATTTATATTAGTACTTCTATACTGTTGAGTCATGAAAGTGTTATTTCTTGGTCAAAGAGAATACGCTTTCAAGATTGTAGTTGCTTCTACAGAATTAACTCCTCTCCCCAAAGAAAAAATTTTTGCCTCAAAAGGTATAGGTTCTAATCTGAATTCTGCTGCTCTCTAAGTGTGCACATTGGGCAGATTTCTACTTTCTTTTTTGTGTTGGCTTCCCTTCTCTGTGAAATGGAGGAAGTAATGAAGACAATGTAAGTTCCAAAGGCCCACACATCTTTACATTGACAAATTGTTGTTGCTGAATTTCAGAAAATTATTTAGGGCTATTCCAAGTCAATATGAAAATGTACCTTTTAAAGGTTCCTGAAAGCAAAGTTAATTTAAGTTCCTTCTGATTTACATTTGATTAATAAACAAATCCACTAACTGGAAGACTTTTGAGTCATTCAAGCTGTGAAATTTCCTTTCAAAGCTTTTTGAAAGCTGAGAGACGCTGCAGAACAAATTCTCATTTAAGCCAGATTTTGTTTATTTCATCCAATTCAAATCAGTTTGATGGCTGTGTGTGTATGTGTGCTCTTAAACGTTCCCCAGTACTTGGACAGGGAACAATTGACCTGTTGGTCAATGAACAGATTTGGTTTTAATCAAGTTCCAAGTCAGATGTAGCACTCATGTGATAGTGATCTTTCATTTAAAAGCCATGCCTTGCTCACTGAACCTTGTAAAAACTAAATACATAAATAAAACTAAGAGGCTGGGAAATATGTTGGTTTGGTTTCTTTCAACCTTCTGCTTATTGAAGGCTCAGAGCCAAAAGAAGGGGAAAGGAAAAATGATGGGGATTTTATTCTTTACTTACTTAACTGAATAAGTCCAAGATGTCTGGAACCATCCTCTGAAAAATATAGTACTCACCAGTTTCTAGGAGTCTCTCAAGGAAATAATCTTGGTTTAATACAATAAATATCAAAGTGTACATTTGAATTCTATTATAAACAATGCAGGTGTGTTTTCTAATTTGCATTGGTAGGATACTTTTAGGCCTATTATACAAAAGATGATTTATAAATAATCTGTGTGGTAGTTAGCCAAAGCTATGAAACTTGGTGTTAGAAATTCTATCCCTCTGTGTTGTTGGATCCTAACCAGGGGGAGTGCACATCACAAATAATTAGGACATATATGCCAAAAAATGGTATTAATTTGATTTTTAAAAATGAATTTGAATCATAACAGATTAGGGCAACTAGCTCAAATGTGGCCTATTTACAGACTGGTTAGTATCCCTTGAAATAGAGCAAAAAGTTGTTCACAAACAGAGAATTACCAGCACTATCAGATTCTTTTAAATAATCTTGAATTTATTAATTTGAATATGTAAGAACCAAGTATAATTCTCCTTAAATAGGAGCAAGAGCTTATGGGTTATGAAGTAGAAATAATCTGGTGGGGTCATGATGGTCATGAGTGATTGGAAGTTATAGATAAGCCAGGGTAATGAGAAAATTGAACCTAGAGGATATAGTTAGAAAAAATATATACTTACCTAGCAGGGAAGATACCATGATCACGAAGGTGGTTTTCCCTGGTCGAGGCTGATCCATTGCACTCCGGATATGCTGACCTGTGTGATTTCCCCAAATGTGAGAAACTCGACTGCATAAATTATGGTAGTGGGGGACTGCGTTCACGCTTTCCCCTAAAAAAAAAATGTATATCTACATATATGGCAGATGAAGAAGCCACTAAAAAGGAATAGTTGGGCCGGAGTAGTGACAAGCTATATGACAAGCCATATACCTTCTTTGGATTCTGAGCAACATATGTTCCTGAAGTCTGGTCAGTGTTTCCCAGATTTCTTTTAAGGCTTAGCTTCATGGTCAACATTTCTGTGTTCTCATTCTCAAATGTATTCTTACAAACTACTTCATTCCACAAAATCCCACCCTATTAATTAAGGTAACAAGTTGAGACTCTGTTCCTTGCAACCAGAAAAGCTTAGTTAGAAACTTTTGTCATTAACTGCATTTTACAGATGAAGACACCAAGGCTTAAGGTCATATTCTAGTAAGTTAAGAGCCTAGAATTCAGATCCAGGTTTATCTGACTCCAAGGTTCAAGCCTCTTTCTATGTCATGCACTCAAATATATTTTTGAAAGTATTTAACTTTAGTTTCAATAGCAATATGCTCTCACTAATTCAATCAGTCAGCTTGGAACTAATTGTAAATTTATATGTATTAATGAATTTCTTTGCTAACATTAAAATAATGGTATCATTTATGTATAACTTACTACAGATTTCCTGTTATTGATATATATATGTCTACATAATTGATATTTAATTAAGAACTGGTTTGTACATAAAAATGTTTGTAGCATACATTGCATTTCATTATCTCCCTCAGACCACATCACTTTGAAATTAAAAACAAATGAGACATGCCATAGACCCTTCAGTAACTTGCAAATTAAAAATTCTTGGCAACAAATTACAATTTTTTTTCATTTTTTTATTAAGGTATCATTGATATACACTCTTATGAAGGTTTCATAAGAAAAACAACGTGGTTACTACATTCACCCTTATTATCAAATCCCCTCCCCATACCCCATTGCAGTCACTATCTGTCAGTGTAGTAAAATGCCTCAGAGTCCCTACTTGTCTTCTCTTTGCTACTCTATCTTCCCTGTGACCCCACACTCACCATGTGCACTAATCATGATACCCCTCAATCCCCTTCTCCCTCCCTCCCCACCCACCCTTCCCCAGCCCCCCGCCTTTGGTAACTGCTAGTCCCTTCTTGGAGTCTGTGAGTCTGCTGCTAAACAAATTATAATTTTTAAGATTTTTCTCCCTTTTACTAACTTTCTCCCCTTGTTTCAGTTCCTCTGGGTGGATTCTTGTTGAAAGAAGAGGCTTTGATAAAGGATATTATTATTAGGGAAAAGGAAGCTTGGCAAGTTCCATGAAATGATATGTCTTAAAGAGAAGCGAGTTGTTAGTAATACCTCAGGGAGCCCAGTTCATGGGCAACATCTTGTATGTTGGCAAATATCTCTTTCCGAACACCAGTTGGTGTTATATTTTACATATGTTGCTACAACACAAAGCTTTTGAACAGTTTTGCTACATGTAGGGGATCTCCAGGTATCTCAAGGACAGAGATAAAATTTTTCAAAGATATATTTATATATACACACATATAATTATATTGTATATGTAATATAAGCACACATATATACCCGCAAGGATATACTATATATGTACAATCAAATTACTTTATAGAAATGCTACCAGTTTCTCTCTAGACCAAAAATAGTAAACTGATGCCTGCAGTTTTATTTTTGAATTATTTTACTAACATTTAAAAATTAGGAGATTTTATATAAAAATCCAGATTGTTGCTGTGTTACTGAAAAATCACAGTCCTGGCACCACTGGACCTGCATTCCCCCACAGGACTAGTTGTTTGGAGTTTAGTGCAGACTTCCCACAACAGACATGAACTCTCTAGTTCACCACTGTCCCCCATCATTCCCTGATGTCTTAGGTCCAACTGACTACTTAATCTACACATCACTTATGTGGCCCGTGGAGACATTCGAATTGACAATCTCTGATTAAGAGCCCAGATTTCTTAAAGTTTAGCTGTTATTGGGGTGACCTGGCATAGAACATCTTCAGGTAATCTATAGGTGCTTGACCATATTCTGAGGAATGCTGTCAAGTGCAGAAATGCATCAACATCTCCTATGATGCTTTCCAAAAATTTACATTGGATCTCCCACTTCCCAAGTCCCCTTAAAGATTCAGATCTTAAAAGATTTTTCTTTTCTCTATTCTTCCATGGCTGCCAGGAATTCCATCCTGGGGTTGCAGTGGCAGGCAGTAATAAGATGACCAGTAGGACTCCGAAACTTAGAGGGTAACAATCTTCTCACTTGGAGAAGTGTTTCTGAGAGTAGGGGAAAACACAATTGGTTTTCTTTCTTCTGTCTTCCCGCTGCTTGACACTCCCTCTCCCCAGATACAGAGGCAGACATGGGGAATGTGTGACAGAATGGAGTAAATAAGTCCCCAAGTTGCTGGCCAAAAAGAATCCCAAAGAAGATGGAAAGTAGTAGGGAAATCAAAGAGAGGGCGGAATCAGACAAAATGACCTTCAAAAATTGTCTGAACTACTGGGCTCAACCCTGAGCTGAGCATGCAGTGAATCTGAATTCAACTGTGAATCTGAATGCAAAGTCTTTGAAAACTGAAATTATGTGAAGTCAATTTACTAAAAAGACATGATCCTAAATGTGTATGGTCCTAATAATGGAGCTTCAAAGTATGTGGAACAAAAATTGATAGAACAGGAAGGGGAAATAGAGAAATCCAGAATTATAGTTGTGGACATCAACAGTCTTCTCTCAGAAACTGATAAAACAGACATAAATAAGCTGCTTATACAGAAAATCAGCAAGAATGTGGAAATACTGAATAACACTAACCATAAACTGAATCTAATAGACATTTATAGAACCCT